AGGGGGGGGGGGGGGGATTTTTCACTCTTCTGTCCTGTTAACACCCTACTTCTGCACTTGTCTCTATTTACTGATTTGTACCTCTGTTGGCTCTGAAAAATGTCTGGCTGAAGCTGCATGGTGTGCAGTATATAAACATACTCATGCAGATATATTGTGTATATATTTATACACCATACTAAAAGTGAACATCAGATAAATTCCACATCTATTTCCTAAAATCTCCTTCGGTTGAGTAGAGTGTCCTTGCCTTCATACTTATGTGGCCGACTTTCAAGCAGAGCAAGGAGGGCATTTGTCTGATAAGCCAACTAGGTTAAAGAGACACTGCCAGCTTGCCATGCAGGATAAAGTGTCCATGTCTCTGCAAAGGGCATCTCCTGGCTTCCACATATTCACCTTACCAACACTTACTCATAGATCCTTGCTTCTCAGCAGTCAGAGATTAAATCAGCTGTGTTGGTGACCTGGGGGAGTGGTGGCATGACTCCCTCAGTCATGTGACAGTTCTCGGGGCCAACAATCAGATGCACCATCACATGCTTGGAAGTACTGGTGTTTCTGAGCAACAAGCTGAAAGGGAGCACAGAGAATGTGAATATATTTGGGTACAGTGGAATGCCTTTTGCAGAGACACTGTCAATTTGCACTGCATTGGTAAGGTCACTCAGCTATAGATCCTCAAAGCATCTCTGAATTCATGCTGAGCGAGCATGGAGCGTTGGCTACTTTACAATACACACATGGACCATGGGGAACAAAAGTAGCCACCCTCCAGAAAGAAGGACAGTGTCAGCACCAACTCAGAGATGATTTGAGGATCTACAGCTGAGTAATACACAATTAAGCTACATTTTTGTTAATAGTTAAAGGAGAACTATGGGGTCAGTGTTTTTCCCCTTAGTTCTCCTTAGGGTAACGGGAGGACACAAACTAGCGTCCTCCCGTTACCCTAAGCTCAGTATACCGCGAGCTACAGCTCGCGGTATACTGAGACGCCGCAGCTGGAGCAGATCCCGACGTAGATGACGGGATCCGCCCAGCTGCATGAGTGACAGCTGGCTCTGCCTATCTAGAGGCAGAGCCAGCTGTACCCGCCCCCTCCCCCGTCCGTTCCGCCAGTCAGCGCTGGCAGATCGGAGCGGGGAGAGGGGAATCCAGCCCTCCCCCTGTCACGGCAGAGAGCCGTGACAGGATTGAGAGGTGAGCGAACCTGTTATGTTTTCGCTTACCTCCCGATCTACTGAGCCGACCTGTGACAGTCTCATTGTCACAGGTCGGCTAGAACTATGAGGGGAGGGGAACTCACTCATCTCATAGTTCTCCTTTAAGGTATTTGAATGCATTTTTAAGATTTAACTCCTGAGTTTAGTGTCAGGGATTTGGCACATTCCCACACCCCAGTCAAGATGGGCAGGGGCTGCAGAAAGCATTCACAAAGCACTCTTCTGCTAAGGTATCATTCAGGTATACATATTTTTTGTGTGGGCCTCTGACAGTCCAGGGGATTCTCTGCACATAAGGTAAGTTGATATTGCCCTAGGACAAAGAGAGTGGGGGATGCTCTCGAGAATAAATCCAATCATAAGAAAGAATGTTTGTTGTTACTTGGTTTGGGCAGCGTTTCACAGGTTAACAAAGTACAGATTGCTTATCTGTCCTCATTTTTAGGCTACTTATACAAGGGCCACTCATAGGCTGCTTATACAAGGGCACTTCCCTTTGATTTAAAGAGTATCTGTAGCCAAAACCTTTGGTTTTAGTTTTAGTTTTAGTTAATTAGTTTTGTATAAAAAAAGCAGACAGATAACTGCCTCCAGCAGATAACTGCCTTCATAAGGGTTCATAAGGGTATGAAAAAGGGGTGGACCTATAGAAAAGGACATTGTTTACCTAGGGCAGCATGGACTTTAAGTAAAGTTTTTGGTAGAGCATATACAAAATTACATCAACATCATCATGTTTCTAGTGTTGCATTACTCTGAATGTTGCCCTTAGTCTTTCATGCAATATAATTATTGCATGAAAGATTATGCTATAAGTTTTACTATAGAGGGGTATGTTGGTGTTTTTGGGAGATTCTTCCTGCAGAGGTCAGTTCTTGTTTATTCCAGGGCAGGTTTTTGTATAAAATGGCATTCTTGGCCATGTCATTTAGTTATGCTATATTTGACCTTTATCTTTCTGGCAATTTGGCAGCTGCCATGCATATCAAGTAATGTAAATACACAGATAACTTCCTTTCAGAATAATTTATTCCTGTTCTCTGTTCCAGAATATTTCACGAACAATTGTACAAAAATAACATATGTCAATAATGAAAATAAATGTCCACTTTAAAATGTATGATGGGAAATAACGATCATTGCACAGGAACTGTTTGCAATTGCAATTAAGAATACAACTTTAGACGAGCACCCGCATATTGTTGCTGCTGTGCCTTGATGATGGACTGCTTTTGCTTGCAGGTATTCATTGTGATAATCTGTGTGCCCAAGGACGATGGGGGCCCAATTGCTCCATGCCTTGTCACTGTGAGAATGGAGGGTCATGCGCACCCGAGGATGGAAGCTGTGAGTGTGCTCCAGGATATCGGGGGACCTTGTGCCAGAGAAGTAAGGAGAAATATAACTGAAAACTAACATAGACCAAAATACACATTTTGTTTCTATCCATTGATGCCATCTTATTTTTCTCATGAATAATAGCATTAAGCTGGGGCAATACTAAAAATAAATGAACCAAAAACACTATAGTTGTTCAGAATAACATTGTTGTGAATATATACAATAATATATGTTCCCAGAATTTCATATCTATTGTGCAGTAATTTTTCGTGTGTTCCTGGCAATTTCAGGCTAGGCAGAGGTTTAAGAGAGACTTTACGTTGTTTATTATATGATTAATCAAAAAGGAAATTAGATTTTTATTGTATTTGGCCCTCAAATCAGTCTGCAACACTTACAAATATCTCCAGTTATGATCATTTAATTTCAATATTGCAAGCATACCTGTAGCAATATTTTAGGTGTATTGATCCCAGGTATCACTGATGCTCTGGAGACTGGCCCCAATAAATGGTCACTATGTGATACACAAATGATACAGTATAGTTCAAATTGTAATACTGTGCTACCTTCCCACACCTATTCACGTTTTTATATACTTGCCAAAGGGAAATCATTTATATCATTGTACAAACAGATCACCCATTTATTGTTGTATCACTGTATAAAGGGTAATCACTAATTTACAATCACATTACTGTCACAGTTTCATGTATGTATGGTCTCATTCTAAGACCTCATGTCTGGTGATCACAATGGGACCTCATATCTGGTGAAAACAATGGGACCTCATGTCCGGTGATCACAATGGAACCTTATATCCAATTATAAAAATGGGACCTCATTCACAGTGATCACAATGGAACCTTATATCTAGTAATAACAATGGGATCTAATTTACAGTGATCACAATGGGACCTCATGTCTTGAGATCACAATAGGACCACAAGCCTGGTAAACACAGTTTAACCACATGCACAGTGATCCATGCTTTAGCTTTCCATCATCTACCAAAGAGTGAAATATGAAATTGGATGGAATGACACTTTAAATTGTGGTAACACATACATGTTATCTGTCCTTTATAGCTGAACTCCAGAAAAAAATATATATTACCCTTAGAGTGAGGCTACAACCTTACTGCAATCCTTAAATGCTTGTTTTGTTTTTGTCTCAGGTACCTTTAAATTTAGTTTTACTTACCCTATTCCTTGCTCTCGCAGACTTCCTCCTCTCTAAGCAACCATTCCCCCGAAGGCTCTTCTCTTCGGCACTCCGGAGTTCAGTCGCTTTCTGACATCATTACATACAACACAAGACATGTAGTCCTGCATTGTAAGTGAGGACACCTAGGACCCACCCACAACCCGGAGTGTCGGAGGGAAGAGGAGAATGCCAGAGGATAAAGTGGTAAGGGAAGCAAAACTGCTTTTTTATTGGTACCCCAGACAAAAGTAAGCATATAACCCTTGCAGTGCAGGGGGAGACCCACTGCAAGGGAGTTTTGAATTTTGCACAGGGTTAGCTTTAAGCATTATTATCACCTGGAACAGTTTGTGCTCATATTGCCAGATTCATCAACAAGGGAAAAATGTTTGCCTCTATTTAGGCCGGGTAATGCGGACACCTAGTTCACAAGCCATTTTTACCATCGAGGAGTAACAGACCTGTAACCAAAACATATAAACGAGAGGTCTGGATGGTTGTTTCAAGAGTAGGTACATAAATATTGGGGAAATTTGTTTGCAATTTCCCTGCCACAATGAACGTAATAATGGGCCTTTAACCTGTAAACTAGTAAGCAACTGAGAAGTATTAAATCCATAGAACAACTTTGTTTATCCTACAGCTGTAGAAGAGATTCACAATGTGGTGCTAGGGCAGTGGTTCTCAACTCATGGATCGCGACCCAAAAGTGGGTGGCGAGCCCTTCTGCAGTGGGTCGCGGCGCCATCACGGCAGCATCACGGGTCGCCATCACAGCTAGGGTGTAGTTTTCCAAGATTGCACTAATTGGTTGAATAGAAACAGTTCTCTTTATGGTGTTTCCTATGAATGAATCAACTAATCAACACCAATGGATTGGGGGGTATGTGGGGGGTAGTCACTGCTTGGTGAATGAGTCTTACTTCTTCCTCGCTTTATTAATTCTGCCATCAAGTTATGCGTTTATTGATTGTCTACCTCTGCTATATAGGAACAAATGTCTGTTATTTGGAAATGGGTACTTTGTTTTTTTTTTCTTATTTCCCTGTGACTCTTTGCAGTTTGTTCTCCTGGGTTCTTTGGGCATCGCTGTAGCCAGAACTGCGCTCAGTGTGTTCACGCTAATGGACCATGTCATCACATCACCGGACGTTGTGACTGCTTGCCAGGATTTTTTGGGCCACTCTGTAACCAAGGTACTCATTTGAGCTTTTCTGTTTTATGGAAGTTGACATGGCAGCAGGCTAAAGAAAAGTAGGGTAATTCTGTGTCACTGTGTTGTATTTACAATATGTTTGAAGTGTCATTTACCAGTAAATGTACAAAGCTTACCTGGAAGAAATAGGTAAACTCCGTGACTCACTGTAGTACTGACTGAGTTTTGTTCATCCTATTTATAGTAAAGCCAACATCTAAACCACAAGCTTAATCATGTATGGGTACTTGAATTACTGGATTGTGGGCTACAAAATAAAGCAGTATTATCCTGCATATGTGTTCACATACGGACATTTTGTGTCCACATTTTTCTTGTGAGCATGGACAACAGTCCAGACACAGTAAAGGCAACTAAAGACTTTTCATATTATTATTATTAGAGGTGCACCAAAATGGAAATTTGAAAACCGAAATGAAACTGAAATAAAAAAAATGGTCAGGCCGAAACCGATACCGAAAATGTTTTTTTTTTACTTTAATTTTTTTAAATCTTTTTAATATTTAATTTTTATTTATTTTTTATAAACTTTTACAAAAGGCAGTACAGTTAACAATATGATTTTAGTACAGGAGGTAAGAGGGCCCTGCTCATGAGAGCTTACAATCTAGTAGGAGGGGCAAATGTTTGGGATGATTTTAATGGAAGAACTGAAATGATGGTTATATGGAGGTGGAACAGGCCTCCCTGAAGAGATGAGTTTTCAAGGATCGCTTAAAGGTGGACAGAGTAGGAGATAAGCGGACACATTGGGGTAGGGAGTTCCAGAGGATGGGAGACACTCTGGAAAAATCTTGGAGGCGAGCATGTGAGGAGGTGACAAGAGAGTTGCAGAGTAGGAGGTCTTGGGTTATGTAGGTTGGGGCAGAATTGGTGGATGACTTTGTAGGTATTGTTAGTATTTTGAATTTTATGCGTAGGGCAAGGGGGAGCCAGTGGAGTGATTGGCAGAGGGGGTGGTGGACGCTGATCAGTTGGTAAGGTGGATGAGTCTGCCAGCATTTACCCCAATACAACAAACTGAAGAAAGGCAGCAGCAATATGAACTGGGCAATTCAGAATGGGAATTTAATTTACCAAAAGGTTACACAACAGAAAAATCCCTTGCATTCAGCCTGGTGAGCAGCAAATTGATTTTACACGCTGCCTTTTCAGTACCCAAGTGGACTGTGGTCATATATTAGAATTTCTTGCACGTCATAACCGTTATTTTATTATATTGGTCATTTTACTCCGAAGGAGTTTGTCACACATACTGATCACCCTCTGTAATGTCTGTCCTCTTGAATGTTGGAGCCAGTTGCAATTTGGCACAATGAGATTTTGGAGAAGAATCTCCTCCATTTCTCTGTGTGGTCTGAATGACTCTTGTCAGCAATGGAAGTAAGCTGCCTAATGTACAGTATATTTTCACAGAGCGAGAGTTTGTCCTGCGTGGTTATGTCTCTTCCAGTCCATATCAGAATGCAGATGGGACATAGCGATGCAGACGATACAGAGGTGAAGCTTTATCACTGCTACCAGGTGCTGCCTCATTACCAAGATCTTTTCCCGTGGAAGACAAAATGAATCTAGAAAAATAGCCTTTATGGGGTGGAGGGGGTTTTATCAGATTGTTCAGACAGGAGGGCTGGGGGGTGCAAGTGACTAAGATTCAGAAGGCCGCACAGAAGGAGGGGTAAGTTGCTAATGTCCCTGTCACACGGCTTGCGGATTACGCTGTCTGTGTTATTGGACGCTCTGTACAAAGATAAGGTTTTATCACAATGGCATTTTTCTGATGTTTTCTAGCGGGATTCAGTTTTCTGATAATAAACCCCTGTCAGCCCCCCTCACTGTGTGAAATAATGCTGAAAAACATCATCTGACAGTGTATCAGGACACCCCCAACCTGAAACATCAACAAGCCATATTTGCTGTCTCCGAAAAGCTGCATGGTGGCTGATAATCAGAAGGTATATTAACCCCCCTTGCGACAAATGAGAGTTCAATATTGCTTTTTCTGCTTACCGTGTCATTGCATAAAAATAACACATTATTTAACTAGAAAAGTATCTAATTGGGATTTTCTGATTTTCTTATATAGTGTATGCCATCTCCTCCCCTGAGATTCCAGACAGGAAAAACATTGAGGAGCTTGTCTTATATTTGTATGTATTCATTCTGCTGTCAAGAGACAGGCAAAAGCAAGGATGGACTAGGCACTTCCGAATCCTTGAGAAGGCAATCTAATTTGGTAGCGGGAATTATATCAGAGCAGTTAAATAGAAAATTATTTATCCTGAATGTAATATGTATTTGCTGATTCTTGTATGCTGTGTAGAGGACCCCCACATGTTGGGTTGTAGTTGCCATTGACATCAATTATGGTTATCAGAGGGACTTCCGCTACAGGCCAAACCTAATTTAGCTGTGGTTTAATGCAAGGAAAGAATCAACGGAGCCATGCGTGAGAGCATCTGATTGTTCTTGTAAAAGCAGTCACCGCTCCAGAATAATTCTGTATCAGCTGACATGCATCTCCACCATTCAGGGCTTACCGAACAGGTTGCACGGAACACGGGTATTTCAGTGCTACTGGTGACCTGCTTTGATTGTCTTCAAGTTTATTAGATCAGATAATCACATGAATCACTTATAAAGTGATAGAATGTAAGTTCTCAAAGGTGTACTTAAAATAGAACTATGGCCTCCCTATTTCACAAAAAAAAAGTTGTGCTGCAGCATTTAATTGTAAGTGTATCTTTGCTTACAGTTTTCCATTAGTCCCCCAACAAAGTCTCACAAATACCTGTTGATCCTGTGAGCAAAGTTCACCTAATGCAGCTTCCTGTGATGGGGTTACAACATAGCTGCACTGCTCCCTAATTCAGAGAAGCATTGTCACCCTCATGTAGGCTGTGCCTGCTTGCACTACAATGTGATGAGAAGGTGTTGGAGGGGGCCTGGCTATATCATTATGCTGATAGTCACTGCTGACTCACAAGCCTGTGGATTTTCAATCAGCAGTTAGCCACACCTAGTCCAGCCCAATGCTTAGTGGATTCATAGCACTGTTTCTGCTGCTGGAACACTCCCACTGTGAGCTGCGGTGGGGAGCATGTTCAATTCAAGTGAAGGAGATTTTGCATCGCTCAAGGGAGGTAAAAGAGGTTTTTTTTTACTTTATAAGGGCAACTGGACCTGTTAGATGTGCTTTAAAAAAAAACTCTGGGCAAAATAGTTATTAACCCTTGCATTGGGGCTACTCCCTTACTACAAGGGGTTAATTGCCTGTTTTTGTCTCGATGCTAAAATAAAAAAGTTATAATCACCCGCTCCTCTGAGCTGACTTGCTCTTAGACCGGTCCTTCCAGCCCCTTCGCTTCCCCTCCGCTGTAGCAGTCTAAGTATCTTCAAGTCCAGAATTCTTCTTTGAAGGTTCTGTTGCCAAAAATTATAGAGAACAATAAGTTTAAAAAAGCAACCAGAACAATCCAGCATACCTTTAAAAAGCCCTACAAAATATTTAGGTAATTAGTTATACTTTGTTCATACAGTATAAAGCGTTGGCCATTGGTTCACTGTAAGGTTTATGAGCAAATTCAAAGCCTCCTCTCAGTGTACTCACAATCATTGGATACCACCTGGACGTTACCCAGTCACTGTTTACTTCCTGGGGCACCTCATACTTATGTCTGCCTACATCCTATCTGCATATACTGTCATGGCCAAAAATATTGGCACCCCTGCATTTCTGTCAGATAATGCACCACTTTGCGCAGTTAACTGTTGCAATTACAAATGTTTAGGCATTCGCATGATTATTTATTTTGTTTGTATTGGTATGACACAAAAAAGTTGAGAAAAAAAAGCCAAATCTGACACATTCAACGCAAAACTTAAAAAATGGACTGGAAACAATTATTGGCACCTTCTCCAAATTGCAAGAAATAATTGCATTCCAAGTTTTTGTGGAGAAGCATGGACAAGCTCAAGGTTACAGGTCCATCTCCAGAGATCCTAATGTTCCTGTGTCCACTGTGCGCAACATTGTCAAGCAGTTTACAGCCCATGGCACTGTAGTTAATCTCCCTGGACGTGGACGAAAGAGAAAAATTGATCAAAGATTGCAATGAAGGATTGTTGGAATGGTGGATAAAGACCCTCCACCAACTTCCAGACAAATTCAAGCTGACCTTCAGGCACAAGGTACAACTGTGTCAGCTTGCACTATACGTCGCCATTGGAATGAAAAGGGACGCTATGGTAGGAGACCCAGGAGGACCCCACTGCTGACACACAAACATAAAAAGCCAGATTGGAGTTTGCCAAAACTTACCTGAGGAAGCCAAAATCCTTTTGGGAGAATGGGCTGTGGACAGACAGGTGCAGCTCATCATTCTTCTGTTTTCAGAAAAAGAAAATGAGTCCTTTAAAGAAACAAATACAGTCCCTACATTCAAACATGGTGGAGGTTCACTGATGTTTTGGGGTTGCTTTGCTGCTTCCGGCACTGGATGACTTGACTATGTGCATGGCATTATGAAATCTGAAGACTACCAAAGAATTCTGGGCTGCAATGTAGGGCCCAGTGTCAGAAAGTTGGGTCTCTGTCAGAGGTGATGGGTCTTACAGCAGGACAATGACCCAAATCACACATCAAAAAGCACCCAGAAATGGTTTCAGACGAAGCGCTAGAGAGTACTGGACTGGCCAGCAATGAGTCCAGATGTGAATCCCATAGAGCACCTGTGAAGAGATCTCAAAACAGCAGTTGGTAAAAGTAATCCTTTCAATCTGAGAAACCTGGAGCAGTTGGCGAAAGAATAGTGCTCCAAAATTACTGTAGAGAGGTGTAAGAAACTCATTGATGGTTACACAAAGCGATTGATTTCAGTTATTTTGTCCAAGGGCTGTGCTACCAAATATTAATTGAGGGTGCCAATAATTTTGTCCAGTCCATTTTTGGAGTTTTGTATGGAATGTGCCAGATTTCTC